ATTATTATCATGGATTTTGACAGCAGCTGCAGGTCAATGTGTTCTCTAAAAACCCTTTCTCAAATGACTACTAGGGTATAATAATATACCTTCACCCACATCAGCTCATTTGAGCACGACAAAAATCCAGTGAGGTAAGAAAGTTAGTATAATTTCCGTTCATACATGAGGTTAATGAGGTTCAAATAAGTTAAATGGTGGCATGCCCAAGACCACACAGTCAATGAGTAACTGGTGGAACAGACAGAACTCATCATCTCCCCCCGCAGAGCCTACTCCGCGCTTATATTCTCGCTATCCTAGTAAATAGCACAACCATGCAAACAGTCCTCCACGCCAGCAGCGTGGCAACCATCTGCTGCTGTAGTGTTCTTCTCCTGGATCTTTGCAAGATATGATTTTTTATTCCATTCAGATCTCTGCTCAGATGTTGCCTCCTCAGAGCAGTGTCTCCTGACCATCCTATCAAAAACACAGCCTCCCGTCCTCTTTACCCTCTCATCTGCTTCATTTTCAGCACATACCTAAATTTGTATTATTTATTTGATTAAGCGTTTATTATCTATCTCTTCCACTAGCATGTAAGCTTCATGAGGGCAAGGAGTATGTCTATTTTGTATATCACTGTATTACTGCTTAGAACAGTTTTTGGTATATAATAGGCATGCAATAAATATTGTTGAGAATGAAAAAAAATGAAACTTAGATTCCGCTCTCCTGCATTCCTTTATCTGGCAGGTCACCAATCCTTATAAATTCTGTAGGAATATATTTTCTCTGCATCCCTACTTCCATTGGTTAAGTTCAAATTCTCATCATTTCTCTTCTAAAGTATTGCCAGCTTGTCCTTCCACAGTCCATTCTACACCCAGCTGCTAGGGTGATCTGTCAAAAACACATATTTTATCATTCTCCTATTTAAATCACAGTCTTCTATAGCGTTCAAGTCAAAATCCCAACTCTTCAGCATGTTATACAGAGTTTTCACATCTGGCCTGTCTAATCTCATCTTCCCCAACTCTCTTCTCCTCTGATCCCAATCATATAGAACCATTTGTAGTTTCTAGAATGCACCATCTTCTTTTTTCACTTCTAAGCCTTTGCAAATGCCACTTCTTTAATATGGCTATTTATCCACTCTACTCCCACTCTATTATTTTGCCTGGCTAACTCTTATCAGTTCTTCAAAACTCAGCATGGATGACACCTTCTCCAGGAACCTTCCCCAATTTTTCTTACCTCTACAACCGTACCTTAAGATGCTCTAAGTCCTTTCTTCTACTCTCATACTCTCCTTCCTTATATTTCTATCATGGCACTTACTACTCTCCGTGGCAATCATCTATTTACATTTCTCTCTCATTAGATATAAGATCAAGGACCTAGTTTTATTCATCTTTAAATTACCAACAGCAAGTAAAGTGCCTCAAATGTGGTAATTTACCAATAAGTATTTGTTAAACAAGTGACTATCAGACTCCTGCTCTCGTGCTTCTTTCAGAGTCATCTATGTAGTTTTGTTCAAATTATGGGACAATAAGAAAGTTGTATTAATAACCCTCAACAAGCTTAGTGTCTTGGAGAGACACGCCCTTAAGCATAATTAAAATTCAATAAATACAAAGACTGAGGCATGCAAAGGGTATCTAATCCACTCTGGGTGGAAGGAGATACTGGGGAAAGGTCAGAAAAACTCTCTAGAAGAGGAGATATCAGGTAAGCCTTAAAGAAATGTGCAATTTGAGGCAGTGAAAGAAGTGAGAGGAAGAGTGAGGAGAGTATTTCAGGAACCAAGTATGTATAAAGTCCCAGCATGGGGTATCCAGCGAGCAGCAAGAAGTCTAGAGTTACAGGAAGTTAAGCACAAGGTAGTGAAGGACCGTGAAGGAGATGAGGTGAAGAGGCCTCAGGTGTCACATCACAGAAGTCATTGTGTGTAGGGGATAGAAAAATATGAACGGTATTGAGATGGATATCCTTTTCTGGAGAATACTCTGAAACATTAATGTATGATAGATTTGCTAGGGATAAAATTGAGGCAAGAGGCCAATTGGAGATAAGAGCTTAGGGGGGATAGAGATAGAGAGAATAGGACACATTCAACAAGTATTTATGCGGCAATATAGATACATTTGGTGACTGCTTGTGGGGGTTGAGGGAGAGGAAGGAGTCATGAGAGATTGCCAGGTTTCCAGCTGGGGTGACTGGATGGATCATAGTGCCACTAACCAAAATAAAAATACTATAGAAGGAATAGATTTAGGGGTGGGGGAAGTTGATAAGGTTACTTATGGTCATATTGAGTGGCTGTGAGATATCCATATGGAGATGCTGAATAGGTATACATAAATCAGAAAATCAAGATAGGTTAGTTTCTGTCAGCATATAAGTGTGCTGGAGAAGATAAAAAATCACCCAAGAAGAGAAAAGAAAGTGAGAAGAAAAATTGGCTAAGTTCAGAACTCTAGAGAACACCACCATGTAAGGGTAGGTGTAGGTGTAGAGGAGCCCTGGTGAGTTGGGATGGCAACAGGTAGGGGTAGTGGGAATTAGAGCTTCTAAGAGTTCATAAAGTGAAACAGAAAAGTCAGAGAGAGGGCTACTGGAGTTTCTGAAAAGTCCTAGGGCCTGTTAATATTAGTCAGTTCAGACTAACCTTCTGATTTCTATTTTATAATGTTAGCACTGACAATAGGAAGCTAAATGCACCAATGTAAAGCTAATCTTTAAGAAGGAAGAAATACTACTTCATCAAAATGCACACTTGGTATGCTTATTGTGGTTGCTATAACTTGTTTAATGAAATCACTACCAGATTTATTTTTATAGCCCCTTTTGTAAGATTTTATATAAAACTTCTTGTTCTTATTTCTATGGGCTTGCTAGAGGACTATCATTTATCACTCCCTTTTCTGAACTCCTATTATGCCTATAATCCTAAACCATACCATAGATCTTTAAGATGCTCTGCTTTGCATTGTTTATAATCATCTTATGCAATAGTGTGCTGGTAAATGTTTAATATCCCATTGGGGATTTGTAGGAGCCCTGGTGGTGCAGTGGTCAAGCATTTGGCTGCTAACCAAAAGGTCGGCAGTTCAAATCCACCAGCCACTCCCTGGTACCCTATGGGGCAGTTCTACTCTGCCCTATATGATCACTATAAGTTGGAATTGACTCGATGACAATGGTTTTTTTGGTTGTTGGACCACAAGGGCATAAGCATACATTTGCATATGTCTTTAGAATGTTTCTTTATGGTTATAAATATATCATGAATTGTCAGTGTAGTATAAAATCAAATTGGAAATAAAGTTGCATCTATTTCTTAATTAAACGTTTCAGAAATGTACTCCTTTAAAATGCCAGTGATATAATCACTAGCGTTAATTATGTTACAGAAACTAAATGAAACTCTGCAACTAATTATGCCATATAAATGATATTTGTGGAATCAGAAGTTCTGGTGTCAAGAAATAAAACTGTTTTTAATGAACTGTGAAAGGAATTTTTATAAGTTTTTAATACATTTCTCAGTGCAATATGTTACACACAAAAATAAACATTTTCATCTTTTTCTAAATGAAGGAAAAATACAGATCTTTCATAAAGACTTCAGTTTTCAAGAAAATGTAAGGCAGTCATCTTAGAGATGTGATATTCCATTCTTCCATTAAACTTCTAATACTTTTATTCCATTGCTTAAAATAAAAACATTATAATTTAAAGAAATTCTAGCTCTTTATGTGTAGAGATTATCTTTTTTTCCCATTTTTTATGAATTTCACCAAACTCAGGAGAACCTAGGAGGCAGCATTTGTGTATTGCTGTCAGATAGACCATTCATCATTTTTCCTAGTACTTCTTTAGTTGTACCAAAATGTAAAGAAAAAAAAGCCAAGTCCTCTAGCTAAGATTCAATCTCATCCCAACTTACCCATTCTTTACATGGAAAAGCTGATGTTCAGAAAAAAATAAAGATTGAGAAAATAATTTTAAGAATGGAATTAAGTCACTGTTCGGTCTTGCAGTATTGTTTTAACCATAGTACTTTAGATAGATTTATGCTCATTCTTACAACAAAGCTTGAGTAATATGATTGCTGCTGCCTGTTATTGCAACAAGTCTATTCTTGTTTATGGTTCAACATTGTTAAAGACCACATTATTTTATGGTATGTAAGTTATACCATAAAATTCACCCATTGTAAGTGTTCAATTCAATGATTTTTAGCAAATGTATAGCATCATGTAACAATCACCACAATACAGTTTTAGAACATTTTCATGTGCCCACTTGCAGTGAATCCCTGCTCCCACCGCCAGTCCTAGGCAACCACCAATCTACTCTGCGTGTATTAATTTGCCTTCTCTGGACATTTCATATAAATAGAATCATACAATATGCAGCCTTTTGTGTCTGGCTTCTATTACTTAGCCTAATAGTTTATCCATGTTGTAGCATGTATAGAAAATCATTATTAAAACTAAAAGTTAAAATACAGTAAGTAGCTGTTTTCCAGTTATTAATAAATATTTAACCAGATCAAAAATAAGACTGCACAACATTCAAATTCACCTTTCTATAAGAAAGTCATCTTGTGTACTATACATGGAGCATGATGATTGTGCTGCAGGTAGTCACAGCTTATTAGCCAACTGACCTCTAAGAATGATATTAAATTTTACCAAATAGCACTATATTTGGCAAATATAGGTATAGATAATGTCTGCTTTGATTTATTTTAACAAATTGTAGCAATCAACAATCAATAAGCAAAATTGCTGTTTGGAGACAATATCATATTCAATCTTGCATGAGTAACTTTCAAATTTCTCCTGAAAATCTAATGAACCTTGTCCAGTAAATGGAATAGTTTTAACACCTGATTCTTCTGAAAACCAGTTTGAAAGAAAGCTCCCAGGCTGCCATGGGCTTATCACTGTGAAACTTCTGAAAGGCACAGACTGTTCATGATGCAGGTAAACTCTTCTACTCACGAATTATCCTCAAGTCTCTTCAAGGAATCCAAAACCAATGAGTGAACACTATCTAAGGAGCAGGATCCGAAGCAATTCAGAGCTGGCAGATATCTAATTTTCATAACCCAGTCATTATGCAGTTTCCTTTTAACACTGAGAATTAAAAACAGAAGAAAAGATTATGTCAGGCACACAAACATATTAGTGAGTTTCTGTTTGGTGTTTCATTTTGACTTTAAATTAATCGCAACTCTGAACTGCTGTAAAGCCTGAATGTATAATATAGTCCTATGTATTATCCCACATTATAGCTGTTTAACTAAATTTTCATAAATTATGGAGGGTATTTAAATGGAAAAACAACTTTAAAATACTATAGTCAAATTTTTCACTATAGATTCAGAATTAAAGAATAATCTGGAAGAATTCCATTCCAATATTGGCACTATTAGCATTTTTTACCCATTTCCATCGAGCCAATTCCAACTCATGGAGACCTTATGTGTGTCAGAGTACCATTATGCTCAATAGGGTTTTCAATGGCTGTGACCTTTCAGAAGTAAAGCTCTAGGCCTTTCTTCCGTGGCACCACTGGGTGGATTTTAACCATTAACCTTTCAGTTAGCAGCCAAGTACAAACCATTTGTACCACCCAAGTACCTACTATTAGCCTTACTTTACTGAAAAAATTCTGATCACCCCAATGAAGGGCTCTGTTTCATGTTATTTTATATCTCATGAGTCCATTCATTCAAATACTCTCAAAAGTGGAGAACTGGGAAATTTATAATCCCAGATTATTAGTGAAGATGAGGCTAAAATAGCCTTCATATTTTTTGTCAGGGAGTTGCCCATCAGTTCATATGACATTTGAGTGAAAGGCTTAGGGTTAGAAGGCACCCCCTCTGCCTCAAAACTCTTGTCTGAACCTGAAAGTAGCCATCTTCATGGTATTATATTTACTCATGTATAATGGTACATTTATTTCCTCATTCACCAACATCTATTGAGCACTTGCCATATCTAAGGTACCAAGGACATAAAGATGATTAAGGTAAAATTCCTACATCAAAGGAGCTTGGATTCCAGTTGAGGAAGATATGCTCACAACTCATTGCAGGAAATTTCTACAATATGCAATTAAGTAGAGTTAAGAGAGAGTTTTTTTTTTTTTTTCCTTTGCCAGATTGTATTTAGTTTTGGACTCTAGAAACTGGCTACCTCTTTCTTTAATTTGTACAATGTTTTTCATACCAGTGTTTTCTAACCACACCACACCCATTTAACATGAATTAATTGTGCTGATGTCAACTTCTGGAAAATTTTATAATGGCTCCAGAATTTGACTTCCCCTTTGGCCTTAATGCTTTTCATTCTTCCAGGTTTGAAGATCTCTTGGTGTAAGAAAATGCCACAGCACCCAGCCTATATATGCCTCAGCCTCAAATAATTTGAATCATTTACATAATTCTAAATAACCAGCTACAAGAACTAATGTGAATTAACATACACTTAACTATACACAGATTCCTCAAATTCATCAGATTCCTCAAATCTCATTTTGACACATCCATCTGATGGAAATGGAGTGAAAAAGAGCCTATGGAATTTTCTGACAGGTGGCACACATTGCAGTAAAAAGAAGATTAATATCTCAGTATCTATTCTTAGAGCATATCATAATTAGAATGAAATGCTTGATGTTATAGAGAACAGCACATCAATATTGGGAAAGTACCCCATTAGAGGCTAATACTTTGGTGAGACTAAGTAAATCTGCTTATGTGTGAAGGATGGAAAATGAAGCCAAATAGTTAATTATTATATCATTCCAGGGTTCCAGAAATGGGGCTAGACTTAATTCCATTGTAATAACAATTGTAATGAGCTTTTTAAATGGCATATTCTAACCCTGGGATGAAATATTTGCTACATTAATGACAAAGTACACATGCTGTATTTTTTTAAGTTTGTTTTTTCATTATATATATATATATAAAGCTCATTGTACAAAATTCATAAAAAAGAAAATAAAAATCACCTCTATGAAGTCCCATAGGGAGGCATTTTGGAACATTTACACTCAGTCCTTTTCTAAGTAGGAATACACACACACATACATAGAGAGAGAGCAGTCAGGGTTCTCTCTAGCTAATCCTGCTTGCTGTGCTAATTATATTAAACCAGTCCAGGGAAATCTCAGCTTCCCTTCCCTAGTCAGTTCAGACCCCAGCTGCCTGTGCAGCCATTTCTTACTCATCCTTATTTGTTTCCTAGGTCCAATAATTCATTGATACTATTCACAAACTTCAGGGAAAGGGGTGGTTTGTAATCTATCAGAAAAGAGGATACAAACACAAAGGGTGAGGTCCAGGTGGGGTCTTAGTGCAGAACTCCCATGCCCCCAGGGGACATGCTTACCCTCCTGAGAGCAGATGTTTGCTCTCACCACCCAGGAAGCTCTTTTACTGGCCTCACCACAGTGGCCATGATAGATTACATCATGCTTCCTGAGGCTTAGTCAGCATCCGGCCCCCAAGTGATCCCTTCTGGTCACGTCAGGCCCCCACTCATTGGCCTCAGGAGTGATCTGGCTCTCAGGAACCAGGATCGAAGGCCAAACTGTTTACTGTAAAAGGGTTCCACACTTACACATATATTTACACACATGTACGTATGTAGGCATTTCTTATAAAACTGGATTCATATGCACATAGAAGAAATAAAACTAACAATGTTTTCTTTTTTATTTAGCCTTATAAACATTTTTCCATATTTTAAAATATTTTTCAAAAACATAATTTTAATTGGGTTCATAGCATTCCATAATATAGTCATGCTATAATTTACTGAGCACATATGCTACCTTAAATATTTTTTAGGAGCATCTTCAATATTCTTTAGGAGTCAGACAAAAGTATATTTTATATATAAATTATATGTGTGTGAATATTTTTATAAAATATATAAATATACATGTATATCATTTATATTATATGTTTATATAATATCCAAATTATTGAAATGATTCAATGAATAATACCTAACCATTCCCCTATTTTGGGGCACTATTAGAAATAATGCTGTGATGACCATACATATCCATATATTTTTTAATAGATGTCTGATTAGATCATTAGCACAGATTCCTAGGGGAGTTATAATGGGAAATTTATTAAGGCATGTGATGGATCTTCTCAAATTGCTTTCCAGAAAAGTTGATCCAACTCACACTTCCACCAACAACCATATATGAGAATGTGCATTTCAGGGGCATCTTCTTTTTTTTTTTTTATTTTGTTCCCGTACAAAAATTTATACATACATTGTTATGTGACTCTAATTGCTCTTCCCATACTGTGACAGCATAGTCCTCCTTTCCACCTCTGATTCCCCATGTCTATTCAACCAGCTCCTAACCCTCTCTGCCTTCCCATCTCACCTCCGGACAGATGCTGCCCATTTAGTCTTTTGCATCTACTTGAGCTAAGAGGCACACTCCTCACAAGTATCACTTTATGTCCCACAGTCCAGTCCAATCCCTGTCTGAAGAGTTACCCTCGGAAATTGTTTTAGTTCTGGGCTGATAGAGAATCCAGGGGCCATGCTTTCCAGGGTTCCTCCAGTCTCAGTTAGACCATTAAGTCTGGTCTTCTTACTAGAATTTGAGTTCTGCACCCCACCTTTCTCCTGCTCCATCTGGGACTCTCTGTTGTGTTCCCTATCAGGGCAGTCATTGGTGGTAGCCAGGCACCATCTAGTTCTTCTGGTCTCAGGCTGATGAAGTCTCTGTTTATGTGGCCCATTCTGTCTCTTTGGCTACTACTTTCCTTGTGTCTTTGGTGTTCTTCATTCTCCTTTACTCCAGGTGGATGGGACCAATTGATGCATCTTAGATGGTCGCTTGCAAGCTTTTAAGACCCCAGACGCCACTCACCAAAGTAGGATGCAGAACGTTTTCTTAATAACCTTTGTTATGCCAGTTGACCTAGAT